GTGGCTTCTCTTGTTTCAGGGCACGGGCTCTAGGCGCACGGGCTTCAGTAGTTGTGGATCACAGGCTCAGTAGTTGTGGCGCACGGGCTTAGTTGCTACGCAGCATGTGGGATCTTCCCGGGACCAGGGCTCAAACCTGTGTCCCCTGCATTGGCAGGCGGATTCTTTTTTTTTTTTTTTTTTTTTGCCGTATGCGGGCCTCTCACTGTTGTGGCCTCTCCCATTGCGGAGCACAGGCTCTGGACGCACAGGCTCAGTGGCCGTGGCTCACGGGCCCAGCCGCTCCGCAGCATGTGGGATCTTCCCGGACTGGGGCACGAACCCATGTCCCCTACATCGGCAGGCGGACTCTCAACCACTGCGCCACCAGGGACGCCCTGGCAGGCAGATTCTTAACCGCTGCACCACCAGGGAAGCCTAACATGATTTTATATATAGAAAATCCTAAAGACTCCACACAAAAAAACTATTAAAAATAATAAATAAATACAGTAAAGTTGCAGGGTACAAAATCAACATACAAAAATCTGTTGCATTTCTTTACACTAACAGTGAACTAGCAGAAAGAGACATTAAGAAAACAATCCCATTTACAATCACAACAAAAAGAATAAAATACCTAGGAATAAATTTAACCAAGGAGTAAAAAGACCTATACACCGAAAACTATAAGATACTGTTGAAAGAAATTGAAGAAGACACAAAGAAATGGAAAGATATTCCATGCTCATGGATTGGAAGAATTAACATTGTTAAAATGTTCATATTACCTAAAGCAGTCTACAGATTCAAGTCAATCCCTATCAAAATCCCAATGATGTTTTTCACAGAAATAGAACAAAAAATCCTAAAATTTGTATGAAACCACAAAATATCCTAGCTAGCCAAAGCAATCCTGAGCCAAAAGAACAAAGATGGAGGTTTCACACTCCCTGATGTCAAATTATACTACAAAGCTAGTAGTCAAAACAGCATGGTATTGGCAGAAAAACAGACACACAGATCAATGGAACAGAATTGAGAGCCCAGAAATAAACCCACACATATATGGACAACCAATTTATGACAAAGGAGCCAAGAACATATAATGGAAAAGGGAAAGTCTTTTCAATAAATGGTATTGGGAAAACTGGACAGCCACATGCAAAATAATGAGACCAGACTACTATCTTACACTATACACAAAAATTAACTCAAAAAGGATTACATATTTGAATGTAAGACCTGAAACCACAAAACCATAGGCAGCATGCTCTTTGACATTGGCCTTAGTATCTTTTCGGATATGTCTTCTCAGGAAAGGGAAAAAAAAGCAAAAATAAACAAATAGGACTACATCAAACTAAAAAGCTTCTGCACAGTAAACAAAAAGACAACCTACCGAATAGGAGAAGATATGTGCAAATCATATACCCAGTAAGGGGTTAATATCCAAAATATCAATATGTAAGGAAATCATACAACTCAACAACCCCCCCCCCAAAAAAAGAAAAGAAAACCCTATTGAAAAATGGGTAGGGGAATTCCCTGGTGGTCTAGTAGTTAGGATTCAGTGCTTTCACTGCCATGGCCGGGGTTCATCCCTGGTCAGGGAACTGAGATCCCATAAGCTGCACAGGGTAGCCAAAAGAAAAAAGAAAAATGGGCAGAGGATCTGAATAGACATTTTTCCAAAGACATACAGATGGCCAACAGGCACATGAAAAGATGTTCAATATCACTATCAGGGAAATGCAAATCAAACACAATGAGCTATCACCTCATGCCCATTAGAATGGCTATTATAAAAAAGAAAAGAAAAAGCAAGTGTTGGAGAGAATGTGGAGAAGGAACCCTCATACACTGTTGATGGGAAGGTTAAGTTGGTGCAGCTACTATGGAAAACAATACGGAGATTCCTCAGTACATTAATAGAACTACCATATGATCCAGCTATTCTGAGTATTTATCCAAAGAATATGAAAACATGAATTTGAAAAGATATATGCACCCTATGTTCATTGCAGCAGTATTTACGATATGAAAACAACCTACGTGCCCATCAACAGAAGAATAAAGATGTATATATATACAATGGAATACTACTCAGCCATAAAAAGATGAAATCTTGCCATTTGCAACACCATGAATGGACCTTAAGGGTATTATACTAAGGGAAATAAGTCAGATGGAGAAAAATAAACTACTGTACGACTTCACTCATATGTGGAATATAAAAAAACAAAAATCAAACCAAACCAAACAAAAATAAACACATAGACACAAAGAACAGGTTGGAGGTTATCAGAGGGTAAGGGGGCTGGGGAGAAGGGCAAAAAGGGTAAAGGGGGTCAACTGTATGGTGATGGATAGAAACTAGACTTTTGGTGGTGAGCACAATGCAGTATATACAGAATTACAGTGTTGTACACATGAACCTTATATAGTGTTATAAACCAATGTTGCCTCAATTAAAAAAAAAAAGATTCCCAGGAATTCCCTGGTAGTCCAGTGGTTAGGACTCTGCACTTTCATTGCCGAGGGCCCAGGTTCGATCCCTGGTCAGGGAACTAAGGTCCCACAAGCCACATGTGGCCAAAAAAAAAAAAAGATTCCCATGAATGAATGATTGCCAGCTCCAACTAATGTGACCAATGGTAAGTTAAAAGTCATCCTACAGTTGAAGCTTCATAGCGTGTGAATGACACATTTGAGGACAGGAAAACACCACGTGTTATTGGACATTGGATTACTCTAGTACTAGTGGCCAAGGCTTACCAATTGGAACCTTCTTCAATCCACCTCATACAATTAAAATCATAGTAGTAAGACTTTCTACTTACCTAACATAGCTCCTTCTGATGACATTGTAGCCACCATGCTTGCTCTTAGGACTCCAACCAGACTTTCTTCTTATGTATAACGGCTACTTGTTTCTCTTTTTTAACATATAAAAGTTTCTGCTTATGTTCACATTAGACTGCACCTTGGTAGAATGAGCTTCTCAGTTGTGGATATGATGATAGAACCTTAAAGGTACATAATTATTTTAATTGTAAATGGCCCAAAAAGAAGGAAAACTTGTGGATTTTCCCAACAACTTTATATTTCTGTATGAATAAGATTCATGTGTACAACTAGTATGTGGAAATTTTTGCACTAATCTAAAAGTATACTTCTCTTGGGTTGCTGACTTCAATATTTAGTATTGGTTTATGTACATAATGACTCCTTGGACTCTTTCTCACCAAGGGAGAATCTTCCACAGTCATTTTAAGTAAACCACAATGATGTATCTGAGGGCAGGCAGTCTGTTTTCTACTCTCATTCAAACCTAAAGTTGCAGAGGGAAAACATCCATACTTAGACAATTTTTTTTCTACCTCTACCCAGTATATTTATCAGATTCTTTGATTCACACAAATAGTAACCCATCTGTTGAAACCACATTAATAGCCTATGAATCTTAACCACTAGAACTAGATGCATACATTCTCCTTGCCTTACCTAACTTATACAGATTTAATTGTGAAAGGCACGAACTGATGTGGGCAACAAAGACAGCTCAACCATGGATTTAAATGGAGCCATCCTTGTCTTTTTAATTGGAAGATTCTTTTCAAATTCAGGGCTATAGGACTTCGCTGTCTGGTTTCCCCTGTGCTCTGCTGGGAGTTTATCCAAGTCACTGCTCCATTTGAGGTAAATTGGGATTCTGCTTTGTTTTGTTAAAGTCACAAATTTGCTTTATTAAATTTATTAATTTATTGAAACTTGTTGTAAAATAATGTTTATAAAGTGGAATACCTTTAACTGTGTTCTTAATTTTGAGAGACTCTTCTTGCGGCTTTGAGTTCATTACAGCAAGAGGAGTAAGGTCACAGTGAATAGCTAGTTATTACAAGGTCAGTGGGTAAAATCAACTGCTTACGACATAATTTATACCTTTAAGTCACCAGTCACCACATGATTTCCTCAACAAATATTACTGGTCTCAAAATTTTAAGTCAAATATCCTAGGAATTTTAAAATTACAATAATTCAGGAAAGCTGCACCGTTTATTTAGCTTATTGTCTCTCTGCTTCAAACCTGCCCTCCTATAGATGTTTTGTGATGACGGAGTTGAGTTCTGCAATCCACATCTCTGCTTTGCTCGCTGGTTCCATTAGGTTCTGCAATCAAGGAATGCAAGAGGAAAGCTGCAGTGTTGGAGTGTAACGGTTAATTGTGTGTGTCAACTTGTCTGAGCCACTGACATTTGGTCAGATGTTACTCTGGGTATCCCTGTGAGGGTGTTTTTTGGATGAGATTAACATTTAAACTGGCGGACTGTGAATGAAATAGATTACTCTCCATAATGAGGGCAGGCCCCTTCTAATCAGCCAGAATAGAACAGAAAGACTGGCCAACCCAGGCAAGAAAGAATTCTCCAGCAGACTTGCCGTCTGACTTCACCTGCAACATCAGCTCTTAAAGGTTCTACAGCAAAAAGCCTTTGGGTGGAACTGGAACATGGGCTCTCCTGGGTCTCCAACCTGCTGGCCCACTGCAGATTTTGGACTTGCCAGCCTCTATAATCATATGAGCCAATTCCTTGTTCTCTCTTTCTCTCTTCCTATATATTTTTTCTATTGATTGATTCTCTGGAGAATCCTAATACAAGGAGGAAGAGGGGGCTTGTTCCTTCCTGGGTTTTGTGGGCATTGCTTCCTGTTCCCAATGCTTCTTCATCCCAGCAGTGGCAATTCCTTATGGTAGCAGCCGAGTCCAGCTTGCAGGTTTTGCCTACATGGGGCCCTTCCCCCGAGCTCAGACACTAGCACCAGCCCGGCAGTGCTCTCCTGCTCATAGGTCTGAGCTCAGTTCCACAGGGGCTCTCTTCCAATGTCTAACCTTTTAACGATTCTAACCGTTTCTCCTTGTTTCTGCTTTGTATCTTGCCCTGTGGAGGCGGGATCACTATGATACCACCACCCCAAACTGGTTCAGATGTTGAAACTATAATGACCACACACACATCAAGAGGTTATGAAAAAGTTTATTATTCGTATAATGAGGCTCTGTGGAGACAGCAGGACAGGTACCAAAGCCAGGTGGTTTGCCTTGATAAAGGAGGGGTGAGTGGCTCTGGTTTTTATTGTGGTTAGGGGTGAGGATTCCAGTGCAACAAAAGAAGGCCAGGATTTGCATAAACTTCCCCTTCAGAGCTGAGAGGGTGTGCTTGGGATTTCTTATCAGCTTGCCCAGATGCGAGGCAAAATGGGGACAGGGCTTGAAAGCTGTCAGTGGTCAAACATCCAAAATGAGGCCAGATTCTATCACAGCTCCTCCAGTCCTGGGTGGTAGCTCCTTCTCACAGTTACTTCCTCCATGATACCCTAGCCTTCTCTTTTTGCCTTTACAGTTACTTAGACAGATCTAGTGAACAATTCTTTACAAGTTTTTTGTTAAATTAACTAATATGGTTTCTGGCTCCTGACTAGAACCTGCTGACACAAAACCTCTTTGCTCTTCTTAGCTGGGTTAGCATTAACATAAAAGGTGGGGTAGTTGGTATGTAAACCTAAAAAAGTGGAATGGATGACTCGGCATCTTCCATTCACAGGCTCCCACTTCTTCATTAAACTTATAAGGCTACAGCTTCTGGCATCACTTGTTATTTTTAGGCAAGGAGGAATGAAAGGAAATGGAGCTTATAATTTCCTATAAACTGCAGGCCTCGGGGATCATGTGTCAATACATGGAGAACATTCCCATTCTTTTTAACTGCTGCCCAGTTCTCTATCATGGATGTATCAGACCTGTTTAACCACTCCTTTACTAAGAGCCATCTGTGTTGCTCCCGATTTTTGCAGGTGAGAACCTGAAGCCTTGAGAGATGGAGTGGCTCGCTCTAAGAAACATCACATAAATGGCAGAGCCAGGATTTCTATAAAATCATAAAATGGCAGAGCCCATGCTCAAAAATATTTTTATTTTGAGATGTTTTAAACAGTTAAAAAAGAACCCACCACTTATCCCATTAAATCAACATGCTGACCCATCTACATCAACTTCTTAAAAGAAATAAAACACAACTGAAGCCTCCATGTACCCTCCGTGATTCCATCAGCAACTCCTGCTCTGGGAAAGCAGAGCATGGCTTTCACACCTCATTCTAACACATGATTTTACACTCTTCATATAATTTGAATCCATAGGAAATATATTATTGTATAAAAGAGTAACACTGCTTACTATATGCCAACAAGGTTTACATGCCAGCCACTATTCTAAGCACTTTACATGCATTAATTCATTAACTGTCCCCCTCCCCCCATCACCCTGTGAGGTTGGCACTACTATCTCATTTTACAGAAAAAGTGAAACACAAGTAAGTTTAAATAATGCGCCCACAGATACACAGTATGTTTAACTTTACATAAATGGTATTCGTGGCTTCTGCAACTTTCTCAGCATCATTTTTGATTCATCTGTGTTGACAGATGTAACTCTAGCTCTTTCATGTTCACTTCCCAAAGTACCAAACAACCCATGTATTTACCCGTTCTTCTGTTGATGGAAATTTAGGCTTCTCCCAGTCTTACTATCTACACAGTGCTGCAATGAACAGTCATATGCACATTTCCTTCTTCACATGGAGTTATTCTAGGGTTTATCCAAGAGTAGAATTCTAAGTGGTAGAGTACACACAATTTTACAAGATGTTGCAAACTGCTTGGCACACCCATGGCAGTGAGTTCCCATGTGCCATACACTTACCCACACAATGGCTTTTAAAAATTTGCCAACTTTATGAGTGTAAGATGGTCCATATCAATTTACATTTCCTGCGCTTTCTTCTCTGCACATGCCTCTGTCTGGGCTGACAGTCTCTGTCAGCAAGGGTGAGACCGACCACACTGAACACCTGCCTGAAAGACCTCCTGATACCCACTCCTCTCCATGGAGTCCCAGCCCATCTGGCTCCCGCCGGCCCTAACTTCAGTTCTTCCTAGGAAGCGGAGAGAAGGCGGGGCAGGGCTGGAATAAGGGGTATGTTCTCCAGGCCAGGATGGGGTGTGAGGTGAGCACTGATAGCTGGGGCAGTCAGAAACTGTCTGAGCGCCCTATGACTCGGAACCACCCATGGTTGGGCTCCCAAGTAGCAGGCGTGCTTGTGGGCGGTCTCTAGTCAACATTTCACTCACAGACCCCTTCAAAAACTTCCAATCCTGACTTAGCTGAAATAATAAATCCAGTTCTATATTCCTTAAAAGAGTCAACTTCGTGCAAAATCTACTCTGCCCAGCCAAAGGATAAATAAGCACCCAAACCTGGCTTCCAAAGTACTTGGTCCGGCTGCAGTAGTGGGAATAACTTTTGGAAACCCAGACAACACCTAACAGAGCAACATACAGGCATTAGGAGAGGTGGGACCTGGGGAGAGGGCTTAGAGGCACACAGGTCAGGGAAGGCTGGGACTTAAAAGAGTAAGGACCTGGGCCAGCTTGGACAGGAGTGTGGCACTCTGCGTGAAGGTGAAGGGAGACAGCACAGGGCAGGTCCGCCCAGGGGCATTCAGGCAAGGGCAGTGAAGTTAAACCCAACACTGATTTACACCAAGATGTTTAGTAGTTAGCTCCAAGTAGTCAGACTTTTCCTTTCAGCTGATCTGTATTTACTAATATTTCTATAATAATCACAGACTACTTATATAATTAAAATTATTTTAAAACTCAGGTTACTGAACAGACTGCATCAGCACTATCCCCAAATATTCAAGGCTTACCTCAATACAGAGAGATTTTTGTTGATTTTTACTCCATTTACATTTTTTAAAATTTGATTTGAATGTTTAAAAATAAATATATATCAATTTATAAAAATGGCAGTAGAAACACCCCTATTGGGGCAGGAACTCTATGAGGTACCAGGTGGCACACAAGGAGTGGGAGGATGAAAAATTTGGACAGTAAAGGGGTATTTCTGTGCTTGTAGCATCAACTGACATGGGAGCTGCAGCTCTGTGAAGGCTCTGGTCTAGAGATCAGACCCCTAACCCAGAATCTTAGTAAACCAAGCCTTCTTTTCACCAATCCCAATAGCCAGGTAGCAGAGCCAGCTACTCTAATTTCACACACCAGGAAATAGATGCTGATGCTCAGTGACTTACTCAAGATCATCCTGCCAAGAAAAGACAAACCGAGCCTGGAATGCAGATCTGATGACTCCAAGGCCCTTGCCATGACCCTGGGCCCTCAACACATGGGACTCTGAATCTGAATTACATTCTATAAGGGTTCAGATTCAGACCACAATAATCCTCAACTCAAAACTGTCCAAAAGCCCCCTACCTCCCTTTGAGGTAGCCAAGCCCCAGTGAGGACCCACGATGCTCATGAGCCTTGGCCCTCCACCTTTCTGGGTTCCTCACTTCCAGCTGGCTCACTCCACTCTGGCTCAGGGGCCTACTTGCCATTCCCTAGGAGACCAGACAAGACCCTACCTCCTGTGAAGGGTCCTATGTAGCATCTAGGGACCTACCGGGCTTCCTCCATGATCTCCTTTGGGTCTTTATTCAAATCTCACCTTCTCAGTTGAGGCCCTCTCTGACCAGCCCATTTAAAATCTCAACCTACCTCCCAATCCAGCATTCCCTCTCACTCTACTCTGATTCATTTTGTCCACAACACATATCATCATCCAAAATACTATATATATCTCATTTGTTTATTGTCTGTAAAGATCCAAGATGGCAGAATTTTTGTTCCACTCACTGCTGGGTCTCTGGCACACACGACAGTGCCTGGCACATGAGAGACGCTCAGCACATTTCTGTTTAGCAGATGAACCGCTGCTGCCCATACAGGCCTGTGGGACAGAGATGGCGATGGGGCACTGGTCGAGCTTCATTCTCCAGGTGATCAAGCCCAGTACCCTGTTCTCCACTCGCAGCTGAGACAACTCTACGCCCATGGCAAATATCCAAAGTCAGCTGTGAAGACTGAAGCCGCAGCCAGAACTCCCCTGGAGGCATCAGAAGAGACTAGTTCTTACTGCTGCTGGTGCTTTTAAGGTCAAACAGACTAGGCACCATCACAAGCCAAACTCAAAAGGGAAACTTAGGATCCAACTGGCCCCTTCCCAGCAGCCACAGCCCACCATGCCATGGACATTTTGTTGAACCAAGAAGGGCAGTGGTCTCTCCCTTTAGAGTTATAGAAGGAGATCTGGCTGGGGGAGCTCCAGGCCATTGTGCAAAGACCACTCCTAGGGGTCCAAGCCTCCTTCTGGAACACGATGCTGCTCTTCCCCAGCATTTCATTTTCCAGCAGTAGGATGGGGGTGCCTGCCCTGCATTTTTGAATCCTCAGGATTCTCTGCCACTAGCTTCCAAAATAGAAAGGGCTGGGCCCTCTATGAAGGTCTGCCCCACACTGCCTACAATCAGGGGTTCTCTAGCAGGGTAGCCAGGACCCCCTCCCCACACTGTCAGACCCCAAGCTAATCTCTGGTATGGTTTTTCATATGCCGAGCCAAATTTGAAGACCACCTGAAGGTCTTCCCACACTCTTTGCATTTGAAGGGCCTCTCTCGAGTATGAAATCTCTTGTGGCTAATGAGTTGTGAGCTCTTGCTAAAAGTTTTCCCACACGTGGTACATTTGTGGCACTTTCCCCCGGTGGGTATATCCTGGAGCCCAGTGAGTCCGGAGTTCTGATCACAAGTTTTCTCACAATCTTCAAGAGGCTTCTTCTCCTCACTTGGTTTTAATTCCTGTAAACTCACCCCTGTATCCTGGGGAGAAGACAACCCAGCCACACTGCATTCAGACTGGGCCACCCTGGTGTGTTTTCTCTGATGAATACAGAGAGTATGTCTTCCAATGAAATCTTTCCCACACCACTGACATTTAAATGGTCTCTCTTTCGTGTGGTTTCTCTGATGATTAACAAGGCGATAATTTCTGTCGTAAGATTTCCCACACAGATTACATTTATAGCGTTTCTCTCCACTGTGTATTCCCTTATGATCTAAAAGACTTCTTTTACGTGTAAAGCTTTTCCCACATTCTTGGCACCAAAAAGGTTTTGCACCAGTGAGTATTTGTGACTGCAGATTTGGAGCATCTTCACTTTCGTGGTACTCATATGGTTTCCCCAAAGAGTGAACCCTCTGATGTCGGGAGAGGTTAGAACTCCATCTGAAAGACTTCCCGCACTCCCTGCACTTATAAGGCTTCTCTCTGGTATGAACTCTCTGATGGATAAGGAGGAATGAGTGATTACGGAAGGCTTTGCCACACTGGCTGCATTTGTAGGGTTCCTCTGTGGTGTGACTGCTCTGAGGAACTTGGAATGCTCTGTCCTGACTAAACGATGGCACGTCCTCAGGCTTTATTTCGACGGCATGCTGCCTCTTATGAACGATAAAGGCCGACTTATGAGGAAACTCTTCTGCACATTCGCTGCACTGGTATGGTTTCTCGCCTGTGTGAATTCTCTGATGATCAATGAGAGCTTTCTTTTGATTAAAGGTCTTCCCACACTGCTGACACAGAAGAGCTTTCTCCACAGTGGGGGCACTCTGGGGCTGACTGTAGTTGGAGGTCTGCCTAAAGTCTTCTCTACATTTGTCTGGATCACAGACCTCCTCTTCCTGGTGCAGTCTCATGTGACGAGTGAAGTTTGACCTCCACCTAAATGTTTTCCTACATTTGATGCATTTATAGGGTTTCTCCTGGGTGTGAATCCTTTGATGTTCAAGAATATATGCCTTACAGTGGAAGAATTTCCTACACTGGCTACAGTCAAAGAGTTTCTCCCCATTTTGGTCTCTCAAATGATGATCAAACCCTGAGCCACAAGAGAGAGCTTCCTCGTGCTGATAAGATTCAAGAAATTTCTGCTTAGCATGAATTTCCTGGTGCAGGCGGTAGGCAGACATGCGTCGGAAAGCTTTGTCACATAAACTGCATTTATAAGGTTTCAATCCAGTGTGAATTTTCTCATGTCGCACACGGTTCGAGCTCCACCTGAAGGCTTTCCCACAGGCCCTACATTTAAACGGCTTCTCTTGAGTGTGAAGTCGCTGATGACATGCAAGATGGGAGCTATGACTGAAGGTCTTCCCACAGTCACTGCACGTATACAATGTCCCCACCATGTGAAGATTCTGCCCGTGTTGGTGATGAGAACTAAGGCTGAAGTCCTTCCCGTGCGCATCCTTTGCCTTCCCTTTCAGTCCAGCGTGAATTCTCTGATGTAGGCTAAACCCGCCAATCACGCGTCTGAGCCCTTTTCCATATTCCTTGTAATCACAGTGGTACGAACTCCCTCTGAAGTGTTTGCCATAGCCATGTTTAAGGGACTGCTTTTTTCTGGGTCCTCTCAAACATGTAATATGTTTTAGATGAAGACTATTACTTCTTCCCGATTCTTCACAGTCTTTTCCTGTCCCGTAGCTGGAATTGGTCTCTTCTTTCTTAACTGTCACTTGTATGGGGTTTCCACATTGCTCCTTTAACCTGCTCTTCTGTGCAAAAGATTCTCTGAGCCCTGTTCCCTCAGAAACATTTGCTGCACCATGACATCCTGATGGCATAGCTTCTTCCAAAGGTTCATGTTTTAAGATGAACTTGTCTGTTTTCACATGGAGCTCATTTCCTGACACAAATAAAACAGAAGAGAATGTACTCTTGGGAGTTCCCTGGTGGCCTAGTGGTTAGGATTCTGGGCTTTCACTGCCGTGGCCTGGGTTCAATCCCTGTTCAGGGAACTGAGATCCCAGAAGCCACTAGGTGTGGCCAAAAAAAAAAAAAAGGGAAAGAGAATGTTCTCTTTTCCCATACTTGGAACTGCAGAAAGCACCAAGGAACCAAAAAATGTCATGAACTTAGGTGGTGAGGCTTTTGCCTGACTGCCAATATCTTTACAAAATAGTCAGGGATAAGGCAAAATATGGAAGAGTATTCCAGACAACAGGAAAGGGAGAGGAGAAGCAAGACGGGTACAGCAGCTAGCTGTACACATCCAGTGAAAAACAAAAAGGGTTGAGAAGCAGGTGTTAAACAGCAAGAGAGGGGAGAGGAATCATGACACAGAGCATGATAGGAAGGTCTCCAAGAGCTGAGAGGTGGGGCTCCTAGGAGGACTGGCTGCAAGGGCTAGAGGTCAAGCCTACCACGGGGGAAGGACCAAGCAAAGAGGAGCAGCAGGAGTGGGATGAGGGTTCCTAGGAGCAGGAAGGGGAGAGCAGCACAGGGCTGAGGAGGAGCATCAGTGAACTGACAAGGACAGTGAAGCCCTCAGTGGGCAAGAGCTGTTACTGAGAGGGCTGCTGGGGAAGGGGCAGGACCAGAAACCAATGTCTAATAGGCCGGTCTGGAGGGGAGAAGCCCAGGCACCCAGTACTTCTTAGCAACACTGCTAAGGATCTTCCTTCCAGTAAACAATGGGGTAAGTTCCCCATGATTTTCTTAGTATAAAAGACCTTAAGAAAGAGGAGAGTAGATGTGGGAGGAGCAAGACCTGGTCAGTTCTCTGGAACTCACCTGCAGGGGCAGCACTTGGACTCCCCTTAGGATGAGCTCCCTGGACATTCAAGCCCCACGGCTCCCTTGCCTCCAACCAGGAGATCAGAGCAGGTTTGGTGAATGGCCCCACTGCAGAAGAGAAGAAAATGGGATGTGAATGGAAGGTAGATGAATCATACAGAACTACTCTCCAGGAGCCTCTCAGGCCTGAGCTCCTGGTAGGGAGGAGGGAAAGCCAGGGAGGCAGGTGGAGGACAGGAGGCCTAGACAGGAATTTCTGACAGCTCTGAGCAGAGACAAGAGAGGCTGAGAGAAACCACAGACAAAAGACAAAAGGATCGCCAGCATTCTCCAGAGCCACATGACAAGTCAACTAGTTAAATCAGCCAACTTTTTTTTGGATGCCTAAATGGACTAGCAACTTGACACATATGACTTTTAATCTTTATATTAACAGGCATTAAGATTAAGTGATTTGGTTAGTAGTTAGAGAGACAGGTCAGGCCCCTTTCTATGCACCATAATGAAAACTAAGAAGGCAGAAGCAGAGGCAGGTAGAAGCATGGGGATATCAATGCCTTACCCAAAGAAGTCACGTTCCCATAATTCTCTAGCATCACATCCCTGTATAGGTTCCTCTGAGAAGCGTCCAGCCATCCCCACTCATCCTGGGAAAAGGTCACCTCCACATCCTTGAAAGTCACAGCCTCCTGAAAAAACATGGTCCTATGCCTTAGAGCCAGTCCACAACTCCCAGCTTTTAGGAGGGGGCAGGGGAATGAGGCTGGCTCTGAGTGAGTACAGGATGGATCTGATAAAGGGGAAAGAGAACATCATCACCCAGCAGAAGAGCTCTGGGCTCCTGGGGGATAATCTGGTCTCTGGGACATGCGTCTCGGGATGTGAGGTCACTGGACAGAAAGACACAGGACAGGGGGGAGCTACAGCTACCCCATGAGGCAGCAACGGTGGGACATCAGGAAGGACCGAAGGTTCTGTGGCTCACCTGAGGCTGGACTGTCACCAGGTCTCCTGAACATCCCTCTCTCTGGGGAAGGGCAGAAACCTGTGCAGCAGGAGGATCTGAAGAAGAAAGAGTCATGAGAGAGGGCAGCCCAGCTCTGGTATCCCACTGAGAAGCCCACTCTTCCCCCCACGTGGAGGACTCCCGGGCCCACAGGCAGGTATGGACTATTTTAAACACCCATTTCACATTTCCCCAGTGTCTGCTGGGGTCAGGAAGTGGGGGGTACAATGGAAGGAGAAGGTAGGTAGACATGGGTCACAGGATAGAAAGGACACAGAGCTCAAGGCCAGGACAGAAGGGATTCTCCTGAGAGGACAGAGGGTGAAAAGACAACGTTATAGGAAATTTGGGAAGTGTGGCATAGGCTGGGGTCTTAGAGCCAGGCGGCAAGTACCGGGTTGCCCAGCCAGGAAGTCACGCACTCCTATTTCATAGGGAGGCTGCAGGTGGTCCCCCAGAGCCGAGCCGCTCCTGAGAGGTGAAGCAGGGGGCCATATCTGTGCGGCTTGCAGGGCTCCTGTGCCCATCCAATGCACATCTGGGCTCTGGGCAAGGGCTGGGTCCTGGCAAGAAGAAAATGTTGTGAGAGGATCCTCGTGGGAATCAGAAAGCAAACTCACAGAACAGGCCACATGGCCAATCTCTAAAAGGTAGAGGCCCAGGGAGCGGTGAGCTAGGTCCTTTATTACCTACAGGTAGAGGGAAAAGGAGGAATAGAAAGCCCAGGGAGGATCCCCTCACCCCTCCACCTCCCTGGGCTCTAATGCGGGCCATGGGGAGACAGGTGAAGCCAGATTCCTGCCTGACATAGGAAAGCAAATGGCAAGTCAGTGACAGCACTGCTGTCAGGCCTCGGGTGCTGCAGGATACCTCCCCACTAGCCCTCAGTCCCCACCCCTGGCCAGGAACTTAGAAATAAGAAATTTATCCCTGAGAGTTAAACTGATAATGGTTCACAGCAGAGATGCAGTCAGATAACATCTATCAAGTTTCGGGCACTGCTCTAGGTAATGATATGCAAAGTGACCTCAAAGAGGCAGGAAGGCTCCCAGACTATAAACCTGACTAAAATAGCAACACCACTAGAGAGACAATGCTAACTGTGAGGGTCAGCTATGGAATCACAGAAGAAAAAGTCTCAGGTGCAAAAACAGGGAGGTACCCATCCAAGCAGAGACCTGGAGAAAGGTGGTCTCTGTGCTGGGACTTCAAACAGTCCTGGTCTCTGGAGGCAAGGCTATCCCTGATGCAAAAGTGAGTATAGGAAGCTACAGCCAGTGAACTTCAGGTTTTTCTGGCCCTGTGGCCAAGACATTCTCTACACTGATATGGACGAATCTTAGCCTGAGGCCATTAAGTACCTAATACCGAGCTATAGACTGAAGAAGATAAAGTGATCACAGCAATTTATCTCCTGTTCCTCCCAAATCCTACCAAAGGGAGAATAAAGAAACAATAACAATATGGAAGCATAGACAAATGAGTTTAAGGACAAACGTTCGCAGATCCCTGTTTCTCAAATTTTGGTAATTTTGATAAACTATAATTTACATGCATCTTGAGCATTTCTGTTCATTTTTTAGAATCTGGTAGGCTTTTTTCCAGGCTCTGTTTTTTGTTTTCTAATTTCTAACTAGCTTTCAACCAGGTAGGCCCTTTCCGCTCGTTTGGCAATGTTTTCATGGATTTTTAAACCACACACCTAGCTCTCGACTGACTTGAATATACCCAAGCCACAGTTTTGTACCTACTATGTACCTTATTTGCTTTAAAAGTTATCTTTAGGTCATTTTGAACAACTCATGGTTTTGGTAAAAATTATAAATGTTCTTTTAGATTTTAAAAAATAGTACCCAATGTTGGGCAAAAGGTTTTCTTGTTAAATATTTGTTATCATTTATTGCTGGTAGACAATGTTCAATGTTTTAATTGATTAATCTAATTTTTATATTAAATTTAGGGGAGAAGTATGTCAAATATGTTTCAGAAATCTTAAAAGTAACTTTCATTTATGCATGAATCATACATGTAGAATTACACATACTTTATAAAAATTCTTAAAAGCCTACAAAAATGATAAATGCTCTTTAAAAAAAAAAAACCTCAAAGGTATGGAGAAGTATTGAGAGGCTGGCCTGAGTGGGGCAGAGGGGCATGCAGAGTGCACTTTAACTGACCCACTGCTCTACTGCCTGCACTGGGACTGTCAGCTCTGTTTCCTAGCACCAAGCCCAGGGCTGGGCACATGGTAGGCACTCAAATATGTAACGAACAAATTCTCATCGTTAGATCAGTTTTCCATTTTGTTTTCAAAAACTGAGGCTCTGAAGGTACCACAATGTTGGCAAGAACACAGAGGTTGTGGAATGCAGTCTAAAATTGTGATCTTCCAATTTCCTAGCCCTGGGCTGCCCCTCACCACTCTTCTTCCCCATCTCCCCCGCAAAGAACAAATCCTCAAAAGTTTACTGAGAAAGAAGTAACATGGTTTGTGTAGACTGCTCTTCTAGGTCTCAAGATGTACTTAGAAGCCAAGGATGCTGCCACCAATTCCCCCGTGTATGAGCAAGAGATACCACCCCCACTTTACAGGTTAGTACAAGTCAAGTTAGGTATGTGGAGATGTACTTTATGCACTGTTAAGTCAATGTGTCCAAAACCTCATTACTGTTTATGGATACTTGCAGACCCTCTTCTTCCTGGAGCTTATATTCCTCTGGGAAAGAGGGAAGGGCTGCCTGCTAAATGGTCCTTTGCTTAGGGTCAAGTTCTTAGCTGCTCAGGTGCCATGGGAATGAGAAGGGAAGACTTCCCCTGAATTCCTCCGTGTTGAAGGTTCAGAGGCCCACCCCCCCCCCCACAAGCAGGCTCACGAGCAGGCAGAGTTCACTGGGCACTGCATGCTTGCTCACACTCACCCTCCATGGTGTCCCATAGAAGTCCCTCTGTAGCTCTTCCAGCAAGGCCACAACGTCCCCACCACTCTCAGGGTCATGCAGCTGCACCCAGGTCCGAAGCTCCCCTGGCAGGATGCTCAGGAACTGCTCCAGGACCAGCAGCTCCAGAATCTGGGCCTTTGAAAGAACATCTGGCCTCAGCCACCAGCGGCAGAGCTCCCGGAGCCGGCTCAGAGTCTCTAGAGGCCCAGAAGACTCATGGTAGCGAAGCTGTCTGAAGAGCTGGCGGAACAGCTCCTGGCCAGGACGATTGAGTGTCTGTGGTCTGGCAGCTGGCACTGAAGTGTAGCTTTCATCCTCTTCTTCCTTCTTTACCATCTGAAGGCATCCTCGCTCCCTTGAAGCCTTGGCCTGAGCTGGATGGACAGCATACCACCTGCCTGGAGGCATCACTCCTGTTCAAGGTCTACCCAGCAGAGTGCAAGCAAGTCTGCGTTAGTTGTATGTATCACTGCTGGGCCCTCGGGAGTATCTCTTCAGCACTGCTGGGGACAATGCCATTTGCTGGGACATCAGAAGTCACTGGCAAGAGACTGAAATAACCAACATTACTGTTCAGGAGGGATGTGAGAAGGATGGTGCAAAGTCGATGCTGTTAGTTAGGATCATCTTTGGATTTCTGAGAAAAGGACTCATGAACATTTGCACAGTGGAGCCTGTCAGGATCAAGCAGACCAGGAAAAGGGATAATATTTGTGGTTACCAGAGGCAGGGGTCGCGGGTACTAGATGAAGGCAGTCAAAGGTACAAACTTCCAGTTATAAGATAAATAAGTACTAGGGATGTAATGTACAACTTGATAAATATAATTAACACTGTTGTACATTATATATAAAAATTGTTAAGATGAAAATCCTAAGAATTTTCATCACAAGAAAAAAAAATTTTTTTTTACAAGAAAAAATTTTTTTCTATTTCTTTAATTTTGTATCTAAATGAGATGATGGATGTTCACTAAACTTATTGTGATAATCATTTCATGATGTATGTAAGTCAAATCATTATGCTGTCCACATTAAACTTATACAGTGCTGTATACCAATTATATCTCAAAAAAACTAGAAGAAAATTTTTTTTACTTTAAAAAAAATCAGTGGTATTTCTACATAGCAAAAATGAACAAACCAAAAATAAAATTAAGAAAACAATTCCATCTACAATCACATGAAAAAGAATAAAATACTTAGGAATGAATTTAACAAAATAAGAACAAAACTTATACCATGAAAACTACAAAACATTGTTAGAAGAAATTAAAACTTTAAATAAATGGAAAGACATTCGTTGTTCACGGATCAGAAGACAAAACATTGTTAAGATGACAATACTGTCCAAATTTATCCATAGATTCAAAAAAATTCCTATCAGAATCCCAGCTGGCTTCTTTGTAGAAATTGAAAAACTGATCCTAACATATGGAAACTCAAGAGACCCACATAATACACAACACAATCTTGAAAAAGAATAAGCTGGAAGAGAGGGAAGAGATCAAGATGGCAGAGTAGAAAAAAGATGGCAGAGTAGGAGGACAATGAGCTCACATCCCCAAGAACACATCAAAAATACATCTATGGGACTTCCCTGGTGGTCCAGTGGCTAAGACTCTGAGCTCCCAATGCAGGGGGCCCAGGTTCAATCCCTGGTCAGGGAACTAGATACCACCTGCTGCAACCAAGAGTTCACTTGCTGCAACTAAAAGATCCCACATGCCACAATCGAAGATCCCACACTAGGCAATTAAGACCTGGTACAGCCAAATAAATAAATAAATATTAAAAAAAAAAAACGCATCTCCATGTGGAGCAATTCTTACTAAAAACAAGCTGGAGATGGGCAGAAAAACTCTTCTACAACCAAGGCTATAAAGAAAGATCCACAAGGAGTAGGGCAGGAAGAGAGGAGAAGAAATTATGTTGGGGCCTAAGCCAAGAGGAGGGGACACAGAAGAGGGGGATAATCATGGGCTCACAGATCCTCACTGGGAAATGAGGGGTTCAAACCACATATTGGGCACCCCAGATCTGGAGTCCGACACCAGGAAGACGAGTCCCCTTGGCTGCTTTGAAAACCAGTGGGACTTACAGGAGGGCTCCACTCGTGAACAGCACGCACACTACCGGAAACAAAGTAAAGGAAGTAAAGGAAGCAGACTGAAACCACCCGGGGCACTGGCTGGTTTCCTGCGACCGCCCCAGCAAGTACCCACTCCAGTCCCTCTAACTCTGGTGCAGCTCCCCACTAGGGTGAAGGATGCCATTGCTAAGGAGAGTGCACACTTGGGCAACAGACCTGACACTGCATCTGAGGGTGGCTATTGCTGGAGATGCAGAGGCAGCAGACTGGGCAAGAGTGGCAAGGGTGCCAGTCCTGGGAGGGAGGAGAGCACATACTTAAAAGAAACAGAACAAGCTTGGACCCGACCCTCGGCTTTTGCTCCAGCAACTTGAGACACACCCCTGCTCCCAATAGGGTGGTGTTGGCTATTGAGCATAGGAGAAGCTCTGGCTCACACCTGGCTCTAGCTCTAACCCCTCCATCTCCAGCCCCACCTCCCACTAAGGTGAGAGCTGTGAGCACACCCTGGGGGAAGGTGTGATTCATGCTCACGTCAGATCCAGCTCTTGCACCAAAGCCACTGGGCACACACAGATTGTATAGGAACGCTCTCACGCAAGGACACCCCTTCAAGATTGGGACAGGTAACTTGTTTCACCTAATTTCACAGAAACACAAAAAGTTAAGTAAAATGAGAAGACAGAAGAGTCTGTCTCACATGAAAGAACCAGAGAAATCCCCTAAAAAAGAAACTAATGAAAGAGAAATAAGTAATTTACCAGATAGAGAGTTCTAAGCATCAGTAATAAGAATGGTAACTAAATTAGGGAAAAGAATAAACACAGTGAGAATTTAAAAAGGAACTAGAAAATGTACAAAAGAACCAGTCAGTAATGAAAAATACAATAACTGAAATGAGAAACACACTAGGAGGAATTAACAGCAGACTAGCTGATAGAAAGGAATGCACAAGTGAACTGGAAGGTAGAATAATAGAAATCACCCAATCAGAACAGCAAAGAAAAAAACAGATTTTTTAAAAAAATGAGAACAGTTTTAGAGACCTCTGAAACAATATCAAGCATATCAACATTCACATTATAGGGGTTCCAGGAGAAGAGACCGAAAAAAGGATTGAAAAGGTATCTGATGAAATTATGGCTGAAAACTTCCTGAACCTGAAGAAGGAAGCAGATATCCAGGTATAGGAAGTTCAGAGAGTCCCAAACAAGATGAACCCAAAGAGATCCACACCAAGAAATGTTATAATTAAAATGGCAAAAATGAAGGATAAAGAGAATTGTAAAGGCAGCAAGAGAAAAACAAAGAGTCATATATACAGGAACCCCTATAAGGCAATCAGCAGATTTTTCTGCAGAAACTTTGCATGCCAGAAGGGAGTGGCATGATATATTTACAGTGTTAAAGGGGAAAAACCTACAACCTAGTACACTTTAACCAACAAGGTTATCATTCAGAATTGATGGAAAGCTAAAGAACTTCTCAGACGCAAAAAAACTAAAAGAGTTCATCGATACTAAACAGGCCCTAAAAGAAATGTTAAAGAGTCTTCTCTAAGTGGAAAAGAATAGGCTACAATAAAAAGTAAACATTTATAGGAAAGGGGACTTCCCTGGTGGTGCAGTGGTTAAGAATCCACCTGCCAATGCAGGGGACACGGGTTCGAGCCCTGGTCCAGGAAGATCCCACATGCCGCGGAGCAACTAAGCCCGTGTGCCACAATTACTGAGCCTGATCTCTAGAGCCCATGAACCACAACTACTGAGCCCATGTGCTACAACTACTGAAGCCCACACGCCTAGAGCCTGTGCTCCACAACAAGAGAAGTTACAGCAATGAGAAGCCCGGGCGCTGCAACAAAGAGTAGTCCCCACTCGCCACAACTAGAGAAAGCCTGTGCGCAGCAACGAAGACCCAATGCAGCCCAAAATAAATAAATTTAAAAATATATATATAGGAAAGGAAAAACCCCACTATTAAAGGCAAATATATAGTAAAGGCTGAGGATCAACCACTTAAATAAGCTAGCACAAAGATTAAAAGACAAAAATTGTAAAATCAACTGTAACTACAGTAAACAGTTAAGGGAGAAACATGGATGTAAAATAGGAAATCAAAAACAAAATGTGGGGGAGATGAATGAAAAATATAAATCGTTTAGAATGTATTTTGAACTTAAATGATTATCAGTTTAAAACAAGTAGATATAGTTACAGGTCAACATATATGAACCCCATGATAACCACAAATCAATAACCTATAATAGATATACAACTACTAGAGAGAAAGGAACACAAGAATACTACTAAAGAAAATCATCAAACCACAAAGAAAGAAATGAACAGTAGAACAAAGAAGAACTACAAAAAACAAGTAACAAAATGGCAAAAAGTATATACTTATCAATAATCACTTTAAATGTCAATGGACTAAATGCTCCAATCGAAAGACAAAAGGTGGCTAATTGAATATAAAAACAAGATCCATCTATATGTTGCCTATAAGAGACTCACTTCAGAGCTAAAGACACACACAGATTGAAAATGAGGGGATGGAAAAAGATATTTCAAGCAAGTGGAGACGACAAGAAAGCTGAGGCAGCTATACTCATATCAGACAAAGTAGACTTTAAAACGATGTCTATAACGAAAGACAAAGACCGACATTACACAATAATAAAGGAATCAATACAAGAAGAAGATATGTGGGAATTCCCTGGCAGTCCAGTGGTTAGGACTTTCACTGCCAATGGCGCGGGTTCAATCCCTGGTCAGGAAACTACAATCACGCAAGCCACACGGCGCAGCCAAAAAAAAAAAAAGGATATAACATTCGTTAACATATATGTACCCAATATATGAGCACCTAAATACAAAAAGCAAATATTAACAGACATAAAGGGAGAAATTGACAGTAATACAATAACAGTAGGGGACTTTAACACCCCACTTACATCAATGGGCAGATCATCTAGACATAAAATCAACAAAGAGTGGTATTAAATGACACATTAGACCAACTGGACTTAATAGATATCTATAGTACATTCCATCAAAACCAACACAATACACACTCTTTTCAAGTGCACATGGAACATTCTCCAGGATAGATCACATGCTAAGCCACAAAACACTCTTAACAAATTTAAGAGGACAGAAAGTATATCAAGCATTTTTTCCAATCACAATGATATGAAACTAGAAATCAATTACAAGAAGAAAAATGGGAAAAATACAAACATGTGGAGACTAAACATGCTACTAAAAAACCAATGGGTCAAAGAAGAAATCAAAGAGGACATCTGAAAGTACCTTGAGACAAATAAAAATAAAAACACAACTTTCCGAAATCTATGAGACACAGATAAAGCAGTTGTTTATAGCAATACAGGCCTATCTCAAGAAACAAGAAAAATCTCAAATAAACAATCAAACTTACCATCTAAAGGAATTAGAAA